TAAGAAGAAGAAGAAAAATAATAAAAGCAAATATGACAATTCCAGGGAAGCTGAACGGAATCAACAATCTGTTTAAGATCATCATTTTCGCAATTATACTATTAACCATAACTAAAATGGCAGTGGGACAAATAAACCCAATTAAGGCTCAAAACTTTAACTATTTTTTGTAATGGTATTTCGAAGAAAAAAATGAGAATCATAAAGCAGAGACAGGAATTTTGTTTACTTTGGTATCTTGTAGTGACTTTATGTATCGATCCTGTTATTTCTTGTAGCCGTTTGATGGTTATTCTTGATAGCGCATCTGCTACGAAATTATCTTTGCCATTCAGATATTCTACTGTAAAATTATACTCAATTATACTAATTCTTGCTCAGTTGTACTCGTGTTGCTTTCTCGTTTTGTAAAGGTACTGCATGCATATGCAATTGGAAGTTGGAGTGCGTAATGGTTTTGAGTTAAAACCGCTTGCTTACTTGCATCAGTTATTATACAGAATTCTTTAGAAAAATCTGGATATTGTAACAAGGTTGGATTTATTAGTGCCGTTTTCAGATGATCGAAAGCATTCTGGCATTCAGAACTTTACGCCATAATCTTGTTAAATGACGTGAATAATCGGCAAAGTTTTTTATGAATCGCCTACAATAATTGCAAAATGCAACGAATCATCTTGCGCTGTCCGCGTCATGCGGGACTGGATAATTTTTTGTGACATCATATATTTTGTCGTCAGGCAAGATTCCATTTGTGTCCCAAAAATGTGACTTCATGCATGAAAAATGAACATTTTTCAGGATGTAATTTCAGATTGAATTTCCTACATTTGTCGAAAACATCAGTTAAGTTTTTGACCATATGTTTTCCGGAAGAACCGATTACTATTAGATCATCCATGATGATCTTTAATCATTCTTTGAAAAGAGATTGGGGCTATTTTCAAGCCAAATGGTAATCGCGTAAAGCGATACGAGCCATTGCCCATTGAAAATGACGTTATATATCTAGAGCTTTTTTCAAGTTCAATTTGGTGGAAGCTAGACATTAAGTCTAGGCATGAGAAATATTTTGCTCTACATAGTTGATCTAAAATTTAATCAATTCTAGTTAGTGGAAATTTATCGGACAAAAGCTTTTTATTAATTTGACGATAGTCAATTACTAATCCCCAAAGTGGGCTATTATATTCAGATACAGATGGTTCGACTATTTTGTCGTCTATTAATTTCTGTACTTGGGCTTGAATTTCTTGTCCTTGACTGTGTGGACTTCTATAATTATACCCGTTACTCGTAGAGTAAAAGGGTATATTGTATTCGTGCAAAAGTATGTAACAGGTAGAAGGAAGCGTTTCCGACCCTATAAAGTATATATATTCTTGATCAGGATCACTAGCCGAGTCGATATAGCCATGTCCGTCTGTCCGTCTGTCCGTCTGTCCGTCTGTCTGTCCGTCTGTCTGTCTGTCTGTCTGTCCGTATGAACGCTGAGATCTCGGAAACTATAAAAGCTAGAAGATTGGCATTTTGCATGCAGATTCTAGGAGTTCCTACGCAGCGCAAGTTTGTTTCAAAAAGGTGCCACGCCCCCTTTAACGCCCGCAATCGCTTATATACGATTTTAAAAATTTAAATATTTCGGAAAAGTAAAAATGCAGTTTTATTGTGTTTATCAATACCTATCGAAATGTAGAAGAAAATTTTCAAATCGGACCATTCGTTAAAAAGTTATGCGTGATCAAAGTTTCTATCTCCATCTCCCTCGCACTCCCTTTACCTTAGTAACGGGTATCTGATAGTCGGGGCACCCGACTATAGCGTTCTCTCTTGTTTTTAATGTATACGGGCTCCTCATCCTTCAATCTCAGTTTTTGTTTATAGAAATTATTAGTTGTTATAGATTCGGTTTCAAGTCCGAATATATCTGAATATCTGGTACATAAATCTTTTAATTGGTTTTTAAATAAGTTAATTTTTGCATAATGAATTTTTCTCTTTCTTCGTTATTGTTTTTTACTATTTCGTAGTCATTTAGGGTTTCATATTTTATTTTATTTAAATTTACGATCTTATTTGTGTTAGTTGTATTTAAAATTCGGACATAAGTATTTTTACGGTTGGAAATGGTATTTGCAATATAAATTCCTTCATCAATTTCTTGATTTAATATCAAAACTTGATTTTTTATTGGTGGAATTTGTATTTCACGGACGACTTCGGAACGAGCGGGGAGGACTGTGGCATTATTGTCACAAGTATGAAGTATTTGCAGATTAAACGGATAATTTAAGTTGCTTGGACGAAGAATTAGTGAGTCGCCACTTTGAGTGAAATCTAATTGGCAATTATATTGTTTTATAAAATCTATACCTAGTATGCCATCACAAGGTATTGGAAAACTTTTGTCGACTAAATGGAAGTCGTGTGTAATTATATATTTACCCGTAGTGAGTTCTATAAAGGCCAAGCCCTTTTGCTCCGAGCAAAAGATCAATTCTTTGCGGCTTGTGGAACTCTGGATCAGCTAAGTCCACTACCTTGCAGGAAGCATATTATCTGGCTGATTAATAGTTATGGTTCCCAGTACCCCAAAATTCAGATGTAAAAATGTGTCCATTGAGCCGCGAATATAACGTAGTTGTGACTTGACAATCTTAAAAGCTAAGCAAGGCTTTCTGTCATGAGGTTAACTTGCGACCCTAAAAAATCGATCGCAAACATTAACAACGGCTGTTGCTAGAATTACTTGGTAAATTTCCGAAGTGTCTTAAAGAACCTGAGCCGAATGGGTAGAAGCCTGAGAAGTAGAAGTACCTTGCCCTTGCTGGTCCTGCCAGCTTCTACCTTGATGTTGCTCACTCGAGTTTTGGTATCGTTGTAGTAGAGTATGATGTGCGTGTGAGCATATTCTGTGTCCCACATTTAGACAACTAATACATAATTGCTTCATTTTGGCAAAGTTAAAACGATCTAAAACTGGCATTCCGCTAAATCCCTGGCAATTACCTATAAAATGATTAGAACTGCAATATAAATATTTTGGATCACTTGTGTTATTGACCCTGGAGCAAGTATATGAATTCCTAGTATTTTTCTTGCTTCCAGAGGCCATTTCCGAAAAACTTTTTCCCTTTACCCTCGACGCTTCATCGGCTGCCACATGTTCATATCGGCGATCTAAAACCTTTACGCAATCAGACCATTTAGGCAGTTCATCCTAATTGAGCTGTTTCTCATACTTGGATACGGATCTACCTTTGAAAGAACTATATGTATAATCACCGCATTGACAATATCTTTTTCGTCCCCTAGGCACATAAGCGAATCGAAAATTGCACTTACTGTATCAATTATTAACCTCAAGGCAGACGTAGAAGCTTTTGTTATTGAAGGGATTTCAAACAGCTGCGCTAGAGTTTCAAAGAAAATTAAACGCTTGTTGTCATAGACTCTATTTAAACTAGCTAATGCTTTTTTGTAATTTGCATCTGAGACTTGAAGAGCTTTTATTGTTCCCAATGCCTCGTCAGAAAGGCAGGCTAACAAATGGTTAAATTTTTCGATGATATGTAGATAACGAATTATCAGAGTCAACCAGTTGCTCAAAAATTCCAATAAATTGCTTATACTCTGAATGTTTGCCGCTAAATTTTGGTAACTTCATTTTTGGCAGATTTGAATGTGAACTTGTAATTTCGTAAATTGCACCGACGAGCAGCTATCTTCCATCTCCCTTTCTGTCTCCGATGCGCTATCATTCTTTTTGGTTTTTGTAGGTGCCATTTTAATAAAAGATTATTTAATTTATTACAATATAGCCAATAGTTTTCTTTTTGTGTGTATTTATGTAGTTATGTTGTACCATAAAATCATCTATGGTAGGAATCAGATAGTGTTCTCGTTTGATCGCGTTATTAAGTGGTTTGGGGTCCAAACAAAGTCTAATCTTTCCATTAGGTTTCTCTACAATTTTCCAATTTACCCAGCTAGTGGGATGAGTTACTATAATTTTGTTTTCTACCATATTTTTTAGTTATTGCTCTAGTGCTGCGATCAGACTTTGGGGAAACCTCTTTTTGTAGTGCAAAACAGGTTTTGCATCTTCTTTCAGAACGATCGTTTGCTTGTTCGGCAGTTTTCCTAGTCCCTCAAACAATTGCTTAAATCTTTCCACAAACGTTTCTTTAGTAGCAGGCAAGTTACACAATGAGTCAATATTCAAATGTTTGATTAGCTTTAATTCAACTGAAGATTCAAGACCTAATATAGGTTCGCATTTATTTTCTACCACTAAAAATTCAATATTCTTGCATGTTTATACCCGTTACTCGTAGAGTAAAAGGGTATATTGTATTTGTGCAAAAGTATGTAACAGCTAGAAGAAAGCGTTTCCGACCCTATAAAGTATATATATTCTTGATCAGGGTCACTAGCCGAGTCGATATAGCCATGTCCGTCTGTCCGTCCGTATGAACGCTGAGATCTCGGAAACTATAAAAGCTAGAAGATTGGCATTTTGCATGCAGATTCTAGGAGTTCCTACGCAGCGCAAGTTTGTTTCAAAAAGGTGCCACGCCCCCTTTAACGCCCACAATCGCTTATATACGATTTTAAAAATTTAAATATTTCGGAAAAGTAAAAATGCAGTTTTATTGTGTTTATCAATACCTATCGAAATGTAGAAGAAATTTTTCAAATCGGACCATTCGTTAAACAGTTATGCGTGAGCACTCCCTTTACCTGAGTAACGGGTATCTGGTAGTCAGGGCACCCGACTATAGCGTTCTCTCTTGTTTTGAGTTTAAATCAGTGCAGCTTGCTGTTGCTATTCCGTAATTATTAACTTTAACATTGTTGTAATCAAAAATTATGAGATTCTCTTTTATAACTTCAAGTTTGAGATCTTTCACTATATCTATTGGAATACAATTGACATCTGCGCCAGTATCCACTTTAAAGGTAATGTCTTTTCCATTAATATCTAATGGTTTGTCCATTTAACTCGGTTTAGTCCACACCCACTTATTCTAAAATTTAAATCAGTATAATTTACTTGTTTATTATCTTTGATAGATTTGTCTGTACCTGATTCCAACCAGCTCCCTTGGCTAGCTTGTGATCAACTTCCACTAATGACTTGGCGTTGCTGTTGGTCACTCCATTTTCCACTTGCTTGTTGTTGTTGTCCATGCGCTTCTTTTGTTTGCAGTATTTTGCAAAGTGTCCAGCTTTTCCGCAGACATGGCATATTATCCCATTAGCCTTGCACTCCGATGGATGGTTATAGTTGAAAAGCGTCCCACAGTTGTAGCATCGGCGATTCATTGCGTTGATCGTGTTGTTTTCCACAGACTTGGTTTTGTTTTCTGCACATTTTAGTAGCTCGTTCTTTTTAGTTGCTGCTTTAAACGCCTTACATCATTGATGATATCCTCCAACTGCTTATTCTTTGCTTCCAGCAGTTTAAGCTGTAGTTTTTTAACGTGTACACCAATTACGACGCGATCGAACAGCATTCGTTTTTCGTATGATTTGCCGCCCTCACATTTGAAGTCGCACAACTGTACTTGCTTACGTAGCTTCGTCTCAAATTCCAAGAATGGCTGTCCGTCGCTCTGCATGACATTGTTGAACTTGAAGGATTCCATCGTGATGTTCTTAAATGGAATTAAATGACGTTGATGGCTCTAATGACGTCACGTTGGCGGCCACCATGCCATTTGCAGTTCCGTCGTTCGGGAACAGCGTGCTGTAAATTTCCGTCACCCTTGGTCCAGCAAGCCAAAGAAAAGTTGCAATTTTTCTTTTCTTTCTGTGTCCGTATCTTTTCCAGCGGCCATCATGTACATCAGAAAAGACCTTTTCCACTTAGGCCACTCAATCGCCAATGATGAACAATCCAATTCGGTCAACGAACTGACACCATGTAATAAGCCTGATTGGCTTATAATTAAAAGATTTAATTATTCAGTTTCTTGTGGCGCGTCTGCCTTTTAGCGTCCCTTTTATTCAAGTGTGTCAGCATATTCTTGATTATATAATAATAATAGTTATCGATAGTAATATACTAAAATGGTATTTTAACTTTATTTACTAAACAGTAATATACTAATAATGTTAACTTATTACAAATGCAACAAATAGAATACCAGCTGACATATTTTTGTATGCAGGAAGTCCCGAGTATAACACACAAGAAAGAAAAGCGAAGAAGATCGACAGACTAAATAAGAAACGACATGATTTTGAAATAGACACACGATTAAACAGTACCATAGATGAAAAACATTTTGAGGAAACAAATAGATGCAGGAAAATAACTCATTATAAATCTAAATTTAAGAAGAAGAAGAAAAATAATAAAAGCAAATATGACAATTCCAGGGAAGCTGAACGGAATCAACAATCTGTTTAAGATCATCATTTTCGCAATTATACTATTAACCATAACTAAAATGGCAGTGGGACAAATAAACCCAATTAAGGCTCAAAACGGATACCTTGTGTTCAAATCGGATTTATTGATATTCCAACAAAATATAGTTATACCAACTTTAACTATTTTTTGTAATGGTATTTCGAAGAAAAAAATGAGAATCATAAAGCAGAGACAGGAATTTTGTTTACTTTGGTATCTTGTAGTGACTTTATGTATCGATCCTGTTATTTCTTGTAGCCGTTTGATGGTTATTCTTGATAGCGCATCTGCTACGAAATTATCTTTGCCATTCAGATATTCTACTGTAAAATTATACTCAATTATACTAATTCTTGCTCAGTTGTACTCTTGTTGCTCTCTCCTTTTGTAAAGGTTCTGGATGCATATGCAATTGGAAGTTGGAGTCGTTATGGTTTTGAGTTAAAACCGCTCCACACGCTTGCTTACTTGCATCAGTTGTTATACAGAATTCTTTAGAAAAGTCTGGATATTGTAACAAGGTTGGATTTATTAGTGCCGTTTTCAGATGATCGAAGGCATTCAGATGTCCATTCGAACTTTACGTCTTTTTTGCATAATCTTGTTAAGTGACGTGAGTAATCGGCAAGGTTTTTTGAAAAGCGTCTATAATAATTGCAAAATGCAATGAATCGTTTTGCGCTGTCCGCGTCTTGCGGGACTGGATAATATTTAATGACATCATATTTTTTGTCGTCAGACAAGATTCCTTTATCAGTGTATTTGTGTCCCAAAAATGTGACTTCATGCATGAAAAATGAACATTTTTCAGGATGTAATTTCAGATTGAATTTCCTACCTTTGTCGGAAACATCAGTTAAGTTTTTGACCATATGTTTTTCGGAAGAACCGATTACTATTAGATCATCCATGATGATCTTTAATCATTCTTTGAAAAGAGATTGGGGCTATTTTCAAGCCAAATGGTAATCGCGTAATGCAATACGAGCCATTGCCCGTTGAAAATGACGGTATATTTCTAGAACTTTTTTCAAGTTCAATTTGGTGAAAACCTGACATTAAGTCTAGGCATGAGAAATTTGCTCTACCTAGTTGATCTAAAATTTCATCAATTCTAGGGAGCGGAAATTTATCGGACAACATTTTTTTATTAATTTGACGATAGTCAATTACTAATCACCAAAGTGGGCTATTATATTCAGATACGGATGGTTCGACTATTTTGTCGTCTATTAATTTCTGTACTTGGGCTTGAATTTCTTCTACTTGGCTGTGAGGACTTTTATAATTTTTAATGTATACGGGCTCCTCATCCTTCAATCTCAGTTTTTGTTTATAGAAATTATTAGTTGTTATAGATTCGGTTTCAAGTCCGAATATATCTGAATATCTGGTACATAAATCTTTTAATTGGTTTTTAAATAAGTTAATTTTTGCATAATGAATTTTTCTCTTTCTTCGTTATTGTTTTTTACTATTTCGTAGTCATTTAGGGTTTCATATTTTATTTTATTTAAATTTACGATCTTATTTGTGTTAGTTGTATTTAAAATTCGGACATAAGTATTTTTATGGTTGGAAATGGTATTTGCAATATAAATTCCTTCATCAATTTCTTGATTTAATATCAAAACTTGATTTTTTATTGGTGGAATTTGTATTTCACGGACGACTTCGGAACGAGCGGGGAGGACTGTGGCATTATTGTCACAAGTATGAAGTATTTGCAGATTAAACGGATAATTTAAGTTGCTTGGACGAAGAATTAGTGAGTCGCCACTTTGAGTGAAATCTAATTGGCAATTATATTGTTTTATAAAATCTATACCTAGTATGCCATCACAAGGTATTGGAAAACTTTTGTCGACTAAATGGAAGTCGTGTGTAATTATATATGTGGCCCCAGGAATTCCGCAGTGATGCAAACAACTCTTGAGACGACGAAGTGATATATTATTATAATGTTTATTGATTATTATTATTTGGTATCCGATTACAAATATTGTGGTTTTAACTTTAATGAGTTAACAAAACTTAAATTTCTGTGCTTGCGTGACGCTTGAGATCTTGACACCGACTGACTCTTCTTGAGTTCTACTTTATCGTTTCTCTCGCGTTCTCGATATACTTTATTAGAAGCGACAACCGCTCCGTGTCTCTCTTCCTACTTGCTCTTCTGGTTTATTCCTGATTCCTACATTCGGCCCTCCTGACGTGATGTTCGTCCCGAACTTCTTCATAAATTCAGCTACAGTGGTTGTTTTCAAAGGACCTTCGCTATCTCCCACTTTTTCAACATCATACCTGCCATGTTTGTGAACTTTAACTACCTTATAAGGTCCAAGATATTTTCCTTTTAACTTTAGACCAACACCATACTGCGTACGCCTGATCGCAACTAAATCATTCAAGTTGTAGAGCTTTTCGTCCTTCCTCTTTGAGTCAAAGGATCGTCTGTTTTCCTCCTGTAGGGCTTGAATATTTTCCCTGGCTTCTTTGCGTATCTGATCTCGGTCATCGGCTAACTCCTGAATCAAAGACTGCTGCACATGTTCTTTCAAATTCGCTATGTCAACTACACGCATATCGACACCTGTTAACAACTTAAACGGAGTTACTTTTGTGCTCCTAGGCTCGATATTGTTGATTAATTGCTGCACTTTACCGACATGCTTGTACCAATTTCCTGGATTCTCTAGACTCATCTTCGACAACATTGGCACAACGATTTTATGCATTCTTTCGACCTGCCCGTTACCACGAGGTACACCTGTAGCGATTAATAAATGCTGAATCTTTTGTTTGTCGCAGTATTCCTTAAATAAGTGCGAGGTGAACGCTGCACCCCTATCTGATACCATCCTGAACGGATTACCAAAGGTTACTGCTTGCCTCTCTAAACAATTAAGTACCTCTTCGACTCCTGTACTGCGCGTCGGATACAACCAAACAAATTTCGAAAATGCATCTACGACAACTAGGATGTGATTATACTTTTTCTTGGTGATCTCCATTGGTCCCACATGATCAATGTGATAAGTGACTAAAGGTTTGTCCCCCTTATCAATAGGATTTAAATATCCTTCCTGTTTTCCCATTTTTGCGTTAACCATAATGCACTCCACACAACTGCCTACTACTCTGGATACTTTATCTCTCAGCTTTGGAATGAAATAAGATTTCTCCACCAAGTCTTGTGTTTTCTTCGCCGAAAAATGGCCTTGCCTATGAGCAATTTGTATGATTTCAATTTCCATTTGAGATGGGACTACTATTAACTCTCGGTCGGGGTCTTTGAACAATATTTGATTGGCGATGTAATAATTCTCATGTCCCTTATTTTCCACCAGGCTTCGGGCGGCTCTTGTCCATTCATCTGCCATCTGAGCTTCTTTTAATCTGTGCATCACACTCTCTGTCAATACGAAACAAGCAACTCGACTAAGCGCGTCTACATGCCTCATTTTCGTGCCTGATCTATGTTCTATCTCGTAATCATAATCTTGCAAAAACATTGCCCATCTAGCCACTCGCAACGGAACTTCTTTCTTTTTCATTGTCATGGCGAACGCGTTACAATCAGTGATGATTTTGACTCTCGTTCCCAACACATATACACGCCATTTAGTCAACGCTGCAATGACTGCCAACACTTCCAGTTCGTATGAGTGATATTTTTCTTCACATGGCTTCGTTTTACGACTCATGTACATAACAGGGTGTAGTTGACCGTCTTCTAGGTCCTTTTGCAGAAGGACTGCCCCAAAACCAAACTTAGACGCGTCCGTGTGTATTTCAGTAGTCAATTTAGGATTATACAGTTTCAAAACTGGTTTTCTAATCAATGCTGCCTTTAATTGTTCGAATGCAACCTGCTGCAACTCCTTGAACACAAACTTGACATCTTTCCTCAGCAAATCTGACAACGGCTTCGCTATAACTGCATATCCATCCACGAACTTCCTAAAATACGACGTTAGACCAAGAAATCGCTGAATAGCTTTACGATCAGAGGGCACTGGAAAATTTGATACCGCTTGCGTTTTCTCATTACTGGGTGTGATCGAACCGTTTTCTATAACATATCCTAGAAAATCGACCCTGCTCTGTAAAATTTGACACTTGATCCAGTTAGTCCTCCATCCATTTCCCTCTGCTACTTCAAGCACTTTTTTAAGCTTCTCTACTCCCTCACTGATATCTTTGCTGGGAATAATAATATCGTCCATG